TTAACTGGACTGCCTCTTGTGTTGACCCCAGTTTTTTCCAGAGGCTTCTCTCTTGGGATCTTCACCCTTTAGCTTCTCTGTTGTTCAGCTATTATTCTGGGACTTTAATCCATTCCTGAGTTATTACCACTGTTTTCTTAGTCTCATGTTTTCCTCCTTTATGGTTTATATTCTCACTTTGCTGGAGCACATGCTTTAGTATCTTCCTCAGAAGTGGAGGTAACTTTTATGAGCCCTTGTTTGCTTAAATTCACTTTCAATTAATTGGTAATCTGGTTAAATTTCTGGTTTCAAAATAATTTTTCCTCAGAATTTTAAAATCAGTGTTCCATTGTTTTCTAGCATTCTGTGTTGCTGATGAGAAGTCTGATTCCATTCTAATTTTGTTCCTTTCTAAGTGTTCAGTTTTTGCCTTTGAAAATACTTAGAATTTCTCCTGATGCATTTAGACATGGAGGTTTTGTTTTGGCTCTTTGTGTTGTCTACTTTGTGGGTTATATCAACCCAAAGACTTCTTCTTCAGTTTAAAGACATTTATTTCTATTAGTTATCGGGTTATTTTATTAGTTTGCTTTCTCTGTTTGATCTTTCTGGATCTCCTATTAGTTGGGTATTGTAACTCCGAGATTTCTCTTCTATTATATTTTGTTTTTATTTTTAAAATATATTTTATTAATTATGCTATTACAGTTGTCCCATTTTTTCTCCCCTTTATGCCCCTCTGCCCTGCAGCCCCCTCCCACAAGCATTCCCCACCCCCCTTAGTTCATATCCATGGGTTGTACAAATGAGTTCTTTGGCTTCTCCATTTCCTATACTATTCTTAACTTCCCACTGTCTATTTTGTACCTACCATTTATGCTTCTTATTCCCTGTACCTTTTCCCCCACTCTCCTCCCTCTCCCAACACACTCATAACACTCCATGTGATCTCCATTTCTGTAATTCTCCTCCTGTTCTAGTTGTTTGCTTAGTTCATCTTTATTTTTGTTTTTTTAGTTCAGCTGTTGATAGTTGTGTTTATTGTCATTTTACTATTCATAGTTTTGATCTTCTTATTTTTCTTAGATAGGTCCCTTTAACACTTCATATGATAAGGGCTTGGTGATGATGAACTCCTTTAACTTGACCTTATCTGGGAAGCACTTTATCTGCCCTTCAATTCTAAACGAAAGCTTTGCTGGATGGATTAACCTTGGATGTAGGTCCTTGCCTTCCGTGCCTTGGAATACTTCTTTCCAGCCCCTTCTTGCCTGCAAGGTTTCTTTGGAGAAGTCAGCTGATATAGTCTTATGGGAACTCCTTTGTAGGTAACTGTCTCCTTTTCTCTTGTTACTTTTATGATTCTCTACTTATTTTTAATCTTGGGTAACTTAATTATGATGTGCCTTGGTGTGTGCTTCCTTGGGTCCAACTTCTTTGGGACTCTCTGAGCTTCCTGAACTTCTTGGAAGTCTATTTCTTTTGCCAGATTAGGGAAGTTCTCCTTCATTATTTTTTTCAGACGAGATCAGGTACATTTAGGGTGCTATGGCTGTAGACTCTGTCATTATTTTTTCAAATAAGTTTTCAATTTCTTGCTCTTCCTCTTTTCCTCCAACCCCTATGATTCTGGTGTTGGAATGTTTAAAGTTGTCTCAAAGGTTCCTAAGCCTCTCATCATTTTTTTTTGAATTCTTGTTTCTTCATTCTGTTCTGGTTGAGTGTTTATTTCTTCCTTCTTCTCCCCCAGTTTCCTTCCCTTCACTATTAGTTCCCTGTATATTTTTTTTATTTCACTTTTCATAGCCTTCACTTCTTCCTCTATTTTGCGACCATACACAGGCATTTTGGTGAGCAACCTGATTACCATGTTTTGAACTGTGCATCTGTTAAGTTGGCTGTCTCTTCATTGCTTAGTTGTATTTTCAGAGCTTTGATCTGTTCTTTCATTTGGGCCATATTTTTTTGTCTCAACACACCTATTATGTTGTAAGGGGTGGAGCCTTAGGTATTCACCAGGACAGGATAACACACTTTGCTGTATTGTGGTGCTATATATTGGGGAGGGGTCTGAGAGGGAACAATGCTGCTTGTTTAGCTCTTGTCCAGCTTTTAGTCACTTCCCCCTTTCCCACAAGCAAATTGGGCCCTTCAGGTGCTGATTCCCGGGTGGGTGGGTTTGTGTACATTGTAGGAACCCATGGACCTCTCCGATGAACTCTCCTGTGAGTCTGGTCATTTCTCCCCCTGCTACAACCCCCACAGATTTTTATAGCCAGAGGTTTTGAGGCTTTATTTCTCTGCACTGGAATCCTGGGTTGCGTGGTCTGTCTTGCCCCCCAGTTGTTCTTCCTGGTGTATCTGCACGTTAATGTGGGACCACCCAGTCCAGCAGCCACTGTCTTGCCCACCCTGGTCTCAAGCCGCAGTCTTACTGCATGTCCTCTCCACCAAGGCTGCCTGTCTCTGCCCCTCCTACCAGTCTGAATGAATGCTTCTTCTTTAACTCCTTGGCTGTTGGACTTCCATACAATTCAATTTTCTGGCAGTTCTGGTCATTTTTTGTTTTTAAATAGGTTGTTGTCCTTATTTTGGTTGTGTGAGGAGGCAAAGTGTATTTGCCTATGCTTCCTTCTTGGCTTGAAGTCCTCTTCTATTATATTGTTTGCTCAAATTTTCTACCCTTTATCTTTCTGTTTTAAGATCTAGTGTATTTACTTAACTTTATCTTTTAGATCTTTGTTGCATTTCCAATTTTAGTGATCGTGTTTTTAATTTCCAAAAGTTTTTTCTGGGTCTTGGATTATTTTTTGTTTTGCATGGCAACTTTATGGATCGGATATTCTTCTTGGATGTGTCTGGAGCTACTAGTTAGTGTTTACTTCAAAACTCTCTTCTGTGTCCTGCTTCTTATGTTTCTTCCAGCCCAGGTTGTTCTATTTTTATCACACATGTACTTGTGTGTTTGTTCCTGGTTTTTATCATACAGCTGGCAGTCTTTGGTTGCTGGCGTGGATTCCCTGCTGTAGTGCGTGTGGGTCTGTGTTCCTGGTGGGGCTCCGTCTCCATTGGGGAAGCAGACTGCAGCACATTTGTGAGAATGGCTGGTTCTGAGGAGGGCTTTGTCTGGGGTGCAAACATGCACACCTGCAGTCCCGATTTTCCTTGGGCGATGTATTCAAAACCTCTAGAGAAGCATTCCAAAGCTTTCTGTGCCTCCCCTTTCACTCTTTATCATTTCATTATCTGCATTTTCTGTGTTCCAGACATTTTCGGAAACCTTTCATCTACTTAAGACTCCCCCTCCCAGTCCTCTTTGCTTGCAGGCATGTATCCATTTTTCCCCTTTCCTGCCCTTTCAATAGGACCTGGGGAGGGAAGGGAACCAGGGGAAAGAAAATGTGTCTAACGTGCTCTTTTAAACAAAAGCTCTTTAAAATTTAGTTTTCCCTTTATTTCAAAATGATTACTGTAGAAAACTGAGAAAATATAGATAAGTCATAAAATGAAAAAAGATCTTCTTATCATCACCAAGAAATAACCTTGTCAACATTTTAAAACATGTTCTAGTTCCTTTTTGCTCTGTGTCTATTTATGTTTTTGTTTTACAGTGGGATCATACCAGACATTTTGTTTTCTAAAATGCCTCTGAAAATGAAACAATAGCTTTTAAATGTCTTTCCATTGTCACAACAAATTCCTGAAAATATTTCAGACCTGGTATTTACTGAAAGATGTATCATCATTGATTTAGCCAATCCGCTATTTTTAGATATTAGGTTGTTTTCGCCATTATAAAAAAGCACTTATAGACATTTTTGCCTAACTTTTGACTCATACCCTTGACCGTCCACTTCGGACGAAGCCCCCGCGGTGGAACTGCTGGGTCCGCACTGAGGGCGCTCTGCGAAGCAGCCCCACCTCGACTCTCGGGTGCCACTTCCACTTCACTCCGCTTCTCTTCAGCTCCGTCAGTAGTAACTGCAGAGGCATCATGAGCATAACATTTGGAGTCAGACAGACTGGGACTGAATCACAGCTTTTGCCGCTTAGTAAATGTGTGACTTTAGGCTATTTTAATTAACCTCTTTGAGCACTAGTTTCCTTTTCTATAAAATGGGGGAAGTAATTCTTCTACCTTTCTGATGTGGCTGTTGTGGGGATTAAACTAGATAAAGATGCACACAAAGCACTTAGCACAGGCCCTGTCAGGCTGAAAGTGTTCACAAATCCACAATGATGGGGTTAGACCATTCCTTTCCCAAAGCCTCTGTAAATCTTGCTCCAAGGCCATGTTGCAGACTCACCCACCCTCTGGGAGGCTTTCCTGACCAGGGCCGGTAGAGTTCTTGTGGGCTGGACCTGCTGTTGGTGTTTGGAACAGATTGCTTGTAGCTTCCCTCTGTGTGTGTGTGCAGACAGAGGCGAGCGACCTCCCCCCTCCGCCATCCTGCATGGTGCTGCCTCCCCACCATCACTAACCACTTTTTAACTTGGGAACAGCAGTGATGCTGTGACTCAGGGTTGGTAGCATCAGGGGTGTTCTTCGGAGTTTGTTCAGAGCCCTTTGGCAGCTCAGGAGGTTTGAGTGTGGTCTCTAACTCTGACTGTTGGGTGGGACTTGCCCACAGACACCTGAACCCCAGTGCAGACAGAGGGCATCGAGCCAAGGAACTCTGCTTGACGGGTGAAAGGCAGCACTCAGTACGTGGCCTTCGGACCTCTGTGCAGCCTGCCAGATGCCTCCCTTGCCCTCATTACTTTTCACCGAGCAATAAGAGGATTTCGTAGCTGGTAGGGCTTTCTTCGGCATTGCCCAACACACAACAGTCCCTTTCACGCCTGTGGATGCCTCCCAGTTGCCAGGGGAGATTGAGAAGCAAGGTTTACAGGAGCTGCAGATGGGAGGACTTGCCAAGGGGAGGCTTCTGGGAGGGCCTCCGCCCCCACAACCAGGAGGGGACCAAGAGGAGAAAGTGATTCCCTGCTCACCCCTCTCCCATATGGATGTCTTTCAGGAGTCATGGCCGGCTTCAACATGGGGGGTGACCTCCGGGAGCCCGCCACCAGCATCCCCCTGGGCTCCCTAGCAGCTGTTGGCATCTCGTAAGTTCCCCTTGTTGGCAATCAGTTGGAGAGAGGAAAAGAAAACTCCAGGCAAAAAAAGGGAGGGGATTGCCGCCTTTGTTCTGATAGTACCCCAGTCTGACCAATTTATTTCATATTCCAACCCTCTTTTTAACATTCAGCGGGCTGGAAAATTCAAGTCTGGCGGGTTCAGACGAGTGCCCTTTCATACCCCTGCCTGGGAATGCAGGGCAAAGTGTCACTAACACAGATCCAATCCTTTCTTTCCTTTCTCCTCAGCCTCCAGCCTCTCCCTGTCCCCACCCACATTTTGAACTTGGGGATGTTTTAACCATTGAGTTTCCAGGATCCTTGGAAGGAGCATAAAGATGAACAGTTTTGCAATCAGATTCAGATTTGTGATTCAGCCATGCCACCGCCTGGCTGCGTGACTTTGGGCCATTTACCATATAGTTCTCTGGGCCTCCTTTTTCTTTTCTGTAATATATGGACAATGAAAACATGTGGGCCCCTTAAGCTGTGGTTATTGTGTGTAAAGGCTCATAGTAGGAGCTCCTACTATGAAGGACCAGAAGACGGGTCCTTCTTCCCCCATCTAGCCTCCCTGCACCACCCCCAGGCTGTCCTGGGTTTTAGGTCACACTGTGCTACCCACATGGGCAGGCTGGGTGGCCTTGGGTCTGTTTCTGACCTTCTAGAATCTTCTGATTTTCTTGTTGTGCCCTGAGAAAAGGTTTCTCTGCCTTCACTGGGTGGCTGTGAAAGGCAATGAGACCACAGACGTGACAATGCCTTGAAAAGCTAGAAGTGCCTGCATTATTTTCATTGTGATATTTACAAGTATTAACATAAGTATTTCTCAAATGCTGAATTTGCTCTTAGCCAGGCACACAGCACCAGTCTGTTTTATGCTAATCAGGGCAATTAATCATGTTGGGATGAAAATGAAGCCAATGGGGAGAGAGAGAGAGACTTGGGAAGGAAATAAAGAAAGAGCCCTGTCTTATTTTTGGTCATAGCTGGGAGGTCCTAGGAGGAACCTCTGGCCCATCTTCTCACTGCCAGGGTGGGAATGAGGCCACAGGGATCACGGGACTTGTTCCAGGTCACAGGGCACCTGGGGGCGGAGCCAGGCCACTGCAGGCCAGATGCAGTCTGTTCTGGAAGCCAAGGAATGGCAAGACTTACAGGCCTGAATGGTCATCAACTTCTTCTTCTTGTGGATGGAAGGGATGGGGGCTGCCAGTCAAATCTGGCCTGAGTCCTGGTAACCAGGAGGCCAGCCGGGCCCCCCTCCCCCACCTCTCCCCCACCTCCAATGCCCTTTGGAGCAAAAAAAAAAAGACAAAACAACGATACTTTCTTTCTGCTGAGAAAAATGTAAAGAGAAAGAGTATGAAGGCCCCAGACAAACTGGGGAGTCCGCACAAACCAGCCTTTCTCTTTCCTTCTAGCCGGGTCCCAATGGGGACCTGGAGGCTGCATGGGGTGGGTTGATATGGGGTTGGCTGAGGCGGGGGCAGCTCTGCTCAGCCGTTGGGTGTTTTGCAGGTGGTTTCTGTACATCGTCTTTGTCTTCCTGCTTGGCGCCATCTGTACCCGCGAGGCCCTTCGCCATGACTTCCTGATAGCCGAGAAGGTGGGTGAGTGCCGCACTAACCTGAGGGCTCCGCGCGCTGGGCCTTTTGTGTGTTCCCACCCACGAATGGCCGCCTGCCCCTTGCAGTCCTGCCTGGGAATCCGTATACTCTTGGCCCCGGACAGAAGGGTGGGGGGCAAAAACACGGAAAAGGTACAGGCTCTTCTTATGTTACCCTAGAAACAGGTGACAACACCTGCGAAGACACATGTACCCAGCTGACTAACTGGAGAAAAAATGTCAGGACAAAACAGAATCTGTTTGCCTGAAATCCCCAGCGCAACCAGCCCTTTTGTTTTGGCCAATAGCCTCCACTGGGCACCCTGAGCAGAAAGTACTGCTCACCAGAAGCAGGGGGGAAGGAGGATGCTGGTGGATATCAAGAGGGCGGCAAGGATCGGGGAAGGAGGTGGAGGAAGCCCAGTGAGAGCCTCAGGGGGGCAGGGAAGGAGGCGCCTTGTCCTCTGAGAAGCCCGACCCCTCGGGCTCTCCGCACAGGTGCGCCAGGTAGATGTGCCGGTAACGTCTTTGTTTCAAGAGGAACATCCTGCCCTGAGAAGATTAGCACATTCCTCACGTTCTACAGCTGCCCCCTGAGCAGGCTAGCAGTCCTGTGATGGTCAAGGATGCTCCTGGGCATCTCCAGAACGCAGGGGAATGAGAATGCCTGACCCTTTTCTGGGAATCCCCCCAAAATCCTACCTTCCCTTAAGTTCCTGGAGGAAAAAGGGACCCTGAGATTTCTGTCATTTATCAGAGAAATACAGTAGTCATCAAGATTTTCTTAGTTAACTTCTGAGTATCACTGCTCATATTTTAGGAGAAATCACCTTCTTCTCTTGGCGAGGGTTTGCTGGTCTTCAGGGGTGGGTGGGTGGGGGCACTGCTGGGGCAACCCCAGGGCAGGAAACTCTAGCTTACTTTTCAGAGCTACATTTGGGCTTGGTTTACACACTAGCACAGGCTTCTTTTTACAGCTTGTAGGCACTGATGTAAAGGTAATATTTGTTTTCAGGGGTCATGACCTTACCTTGGAGGCAGGTTTTGAAAGGGGCAGCAGTTGGTAGTGAGAGCATGACACCCACCTTCCAGTGCCTGAGGTCCCAGACCCCCAACCAGCAAGGTTTGCTCTCAGGGGAGAAATCTGTGGCCCTTACCTCTGCTGACGTGCCTGCTTTCATCTTGAGTTTCATCTCCCAGTGGCCTTTTCTCTCACTGCGGAGCGAAAAGCTTGGCTGCATTGGAGGAATTAAAGGCCTCGGGGAGCAACAGGTCTCTGACCCGGGAACTGCCTGCTGCTGTCTGTGCCTTGCCAGGGGCCAGCTACCTCTGCCTCCTCCAAGGCTGGTCCCTTTCTAGTGAATCCCCTCCCAGAGGACCTTTCAACCACCAGAGATTCTGATCCCGATGGGATGAGGCAAATTGTCCGCTGGGCTGGGAATCCTCTGTCCCCTCCTTCCCCTGCTTTGCAGGGAAGCTAAGAATGGGTGTGGGGTAGGAGGTAGGCAGCTTGAATTTAAGGAAGGCCGCAGCAGCAAGAGCGTAAGAACAGTTCCATGAACAGCGAGGGAGAGCCTCTGTGGGTGGAAATTCCACTGCCAATAGTGGAAATCCGTGGGGGGAGGGGCTTGCTGGGAATGCCACTTGTCCTGGCCCATGAGACAGGTGGGGAAGTGCTTGGCCCGTTGGAGGCATGTGCTAAGCCGTGCCTGTCAATAACACCTGTGGTGTCGTTATGCACACACGGGGATGAGAGGCAGAGAGGCAGCTTTGGGACAGGATGTAAGACCGCTTCCTGCAGTGGAGTTGTAAAGCATAGAAAGAAAGCGAAGGTACTATTCTTGGTTCCCAGTAGCCCATGGGCAGGTACAACAGTAACCAGGCAACTCCAAAAGAGCAGCACCCTGGTGTGCCCAGGACCATGCAGGGTTTTCCCCTTAAAGCCCTGAACCTTGGCCTTTCCTGCTCTCTGGTGCCCCGCCTTGGCACTGACTCAGCTGTGATAGCAGGTGCTATAATCAGTCAGTAAGTTGGGCCAGGCACGATTTTACTAAGAGTCCCGGACCATGGGAAGGAGCAGTGTACAGAGATGGAAAGGTATAAATGCCCAGTCTTACATGGTCACTTGATACAACCTACCTACCACCACCAAGTGATGTTAATGAACTGTTCATCTCGGCTTCACATCGTAGCTGTGGCCTCGGTTGTGAGCCTGTTCATCTCGGAGCTCTCCTGAGTCCAGAGGAAGCCAGGCCTCTTCAGTCTGGTCCGGAGGGTCTCACCTCCCGCACAGGCCAGGCCCCTGGCCCTGGGTCTCACAAACTCCACATGCTTTTCTTTTTCTTGGGTGCATTCTGCCCGAACAGTTACTTTCAGTGGCTGCTGGCTGCACCGGACTCCTTTCCACTGGCCTACAGCTGCTCAGTTCATCTGTAACTTTCTGGATTTCCTGCAGCTTCTCTGATGTGTTTCTTATTATTTGGCTTCCCAGTCCACAGTTTCCCTAATTTTCCTTTTCGCCTTATGTCCCTGCCCCACTGGAACTTCATGCTGGCTACCAAGTGTCAGTCTTGGTGATGTTGTGCTTTCCAAAGAATCTCGGGTACCATGTGGGTGGTGACTCTGAGGCAGTCTCTGTATAAAGCACATCACCCGGTGCAGGGTAGGTGCTTATTAAACTTTGACTCCCTTACATACCCCAGATGGGCGATACCCTTACAGATGGGACACATTGGGAGGGGGTATTTTTTTGTGTGTGTGAACCCACCATATTTAGCAGATGAGAGAAAGCTAAAAGTCAACCCCAGTATTATTCAGTTACACAAAAAGGAATTGTGTAAAGAGCAGGTACTGGTAGGGGTAAAGTTAAATATATTAAATGATTGTTTTAGAATAAACGTGTCCACAGTCCAGGAAAAAACCTGTTTTTCTATACATCAGAAAGACCAGGTCCTTTAGGAGCCCTGGGTCCTGCTCACTAGCGGAGTAAGAACAGACTGAGTGATAAAATTACCCCCAAACATATCTGTTAAGAACGAGGCATCCCACAGAGTAAACTCTAATCGGTCTTGGCTGTAACAGCATGGTGTCTGTCACACGTTCACAGTTGCGCATGGGAAGACAGGCTAGGGCAGGGCTGGCGGCTGGCGAGTGAGCCCAGCCAGCTGTTCAGCGTCCGCCACCCATCCTGGCCTGCTGTCCTCGCCGCCCCACCGCGGACACAGCGCTGTCTCTGAGGAAGGAAGCCAAGTTTGCTTCCTTACCAAAAATGGCTATCAACTGACAGGGAAATGCAACTGCGAGTTGAGATGTTGGTCAATTTGTTTAGTGAGGACAGTACTAAAAAACTCGGGTCTATGGAAGCATGATGTGAAAGGAAACTAGGCAGCTATTGACACATTGCTGTGTTAATAAATGTGAGGTTGTAAGGGTTTCCCTTGATAATATCAAGGGGCCACAGGAATTAGATGAGTCAGAATGAGCACCTTGCAAATGACTTCAAGTTCAATCCTTCGAGGGCGGGGCGGGGGGGCAGCCAATGGATTGGGGGGATCTCTTACAGACTACAGCTCAAAAGAGAGTGGGGACAAGGGTCTGAGAGCAGAGAGATGGAATTAATGATTTTCTCCAGTAGTTCCTATAGAAAGAAATTAGGGTAGTTCACGCCCCAGATAATAGTTTGGGAAGAGAGAGATGCTTTTGTGATGGTTCAAACAAGTATAGGACAGAAGGGCATCTTTTTTCTTAAGAAAGATCATCTGCTCAAATAGTCCCATTTCCACCTCCACTGGCAGTTAGGAAGTTTCCAAGTCCATGTGATTAGAGAAAGCGAGTAAGTTCTGCAAGGGCCGGAAGCAAACCTGTGTGGTTTATGAATGTACTTGTGAAGGCTTGCTCTGTGCCTCGCCTGTACAGGTGTATAACCTGTCCGCACCCAGGGTCCCCTCCATGGATGGATGCATGACAGAAAGGAAGAGACAGTGTTCTGTGGGAAAGAGATGAAAAGTAATTTTTTATATAACTTATTCAGACATGAGGAGCAACATGTCATTTATTTTTCAGAATACTGACTGCATAGTAGTTTATGTAAAAGATCGGCAAGTGGCCAGACCATTGTAAACACACCTGACGAACCGGACATAAACAAGTCACTGTACCTGGACAGTCCCCCGCCAGGCCTTAGTCCAAGGGCTCTGCAGGAATCCCAGGGGCCGTCTGTGGGAAGGCTGGCTGCGGGCGTCGTCACTGCATCGTGGCCTTCGGGTGCTAGAGGCTGGAGTTCCTGAGGTCAGTCCCAGCACCAGAAGGACACCGGAATAAAGGGCAGTCTCACTTCCATTCTGAGTAAATGAACAGGCTTTCTATGGGGGAAAAAAACATTTTAAACACAAATAGGTATAACTTTGGGGGTAAGAAGCAGTGACATTTCTGCAGGGACATAACGTGCCTGACTGTCTGGAGGCTGCGAGGGGAGAAGCCAGAAGAACACAGCACCCCGTGCCCAGTGGCTCTCGCCCTGGCCACGCACGAGGGCCCCTGCAGTGCTTTCAAAAAGCCAGTGATGTCTGTGCCCCGCTCCCCAGGGAAGGAAGCAGAATCTCTGCGGCGATTCTTATGCACAGCCAGAGTGGAGAGCTACTGAGTTCAGTTCTCGAAGTGCACTTGATGGAAGTTTATCACATAATCTGCATATTTTTAAAATCAGTCAGCATAGGATGCAACTGGGGCAGAGACAGAAACAAAGCTTACAGATGCGCGATCGCATCTCGGGCTGGATCGAGGGTTGGTGGTGGGACCCGTTCGCCTAACGCTTTTGTAAGACACCCAGGGCACGAATCACAGTGATGTTGTGGGGCTCCGTGAACTCAGCAGCCACCTGCTGGGCCCCGTTTGCCAGACTCTGTCGGGTGCAGCGGGGGGAGGGCCAGATGTGTGGGACACCCGGCTGCCCCCGTGGAGCTCGTGGTGCGTGGGCAGGAGAAGCCAGGAGCCTGACTGTCTACTCCACGGGCTTGTAGTAACCTTACCAGGGTAGAAAATAACAAAGGCCACCAGCACACACACACACAAAGAAGGTGATGACATTAATTTCTCCTAGTAATAAAATGGTAAGTGAAGGTTTAGGTGCAGGACAAACACAAGAAACCTGTGACACTGAAGAAACAGGGAAGATTCATCGGGGGTAAGATGAGGTAATGCATCCAGGGAAAAGCAGCCCACACTGAACCGAGGATGAGGTAGGCTGTGTAGTTGGCCTTAGTCAGGTTCACCGAACCTCTGTCCTCACTGTCCATTTGGAGGCTATTCCACTTATGTGTGGTCCTAGAGGAGTGAAGCCCATTTGATACTACAGAAGCCCAAATGACTAGACCCTCGCCTGTCCTCCTGTGGTTCCGGCAGGGCATGCAACCTAAGCTCGGCCCATCGAATGAAGCAAACATCAAGGAGTGGTGGGAACTCTTCCACAGGGCACCCGAGGGCCGGTAGCATCCTGGTCAAACTGCTCTCGTTCAAGAGCCGGGGTGCACCTCCAGGCGTGGGCCGTGCCGTTCCCAAGCCTGGCCTCCCAGCCTCCTGACGGTTCTGTGAACCTCCAGTGTCCTGCATATGTATTCTTTAAAAAAGTATTTCCCATCAAGAATCATGGTGGATACAGGTTTCTGGGGATAATTTATGAACCAGGAAAGAGCTCTGACCAGGGGCTGGTGTTCTGTGTAGTTTGACGTCATTGATGTGGTGCTTCCTGCATAAAAGTATGGGATCGGGTGAGTCTTCAAAAGGGGTAAAGGGCAAAACTCAAAATTCAATCTAACCCTTCTAATCGTTGAGCAAATGAGCACTTGGAATAAATAGTTCTGGTGACTGTGCCTAAGGTAAAGTAGAATGGAGGAGGCATCTAGAATAGTTAAGAGAACAGATTTTCCTGTGGGCCCAGGTCAGGAGGGTGAGGTAGACTCACGACGGACAGCCTGTGACACAGCTGCATGGCCGGCAGCACTCATCTGTTACAAGTCGACAGCAAGCAGGACAACGGTGCTCTCTCTTACTCTCTCTGTTAGTGCCCAGTGGGCCATATGAGTCGTGGGTCACATTCATTCATTCATTCATTCATCCAGCATTTATTGTTCCGTATTGGCACCAAGTACACAAGGGTAAATGAGAAATGAAGCCAGTGAGGAGACAGTGTCCTAGGTGCTCTCGATCTCCTGTTGAGGGGCTGCAGGGCCCGGAGGGCAACCACTGCTGTGAGGGGTTAGGACGGCCTCATGGAGAAGGGGAGGTTTGTGATGAGTCTTGAAGCACGACTGGGAGTTTAACAGGCAATTAGTAGACTAAAGGTGTGGGCGGAGGGTTCCAGCAGGCAGGGAAATGGTGCTGACAGACCCTGAGGGTTCAGGGTAGAGGGCTGGGGAGGTCACAGACCAGGGAAGGACTCATATGTCAGGGCAGTGGGGAGCCATTGGCATTTTTGCAGGCCGGGCGTTAATGATCAGTTTTGAGTTTAGAGGGATCGCTGTGGCGGAGGCTTGGGGATGATTCAGGGTGGGCACTGCGTAGAGGTGGGAGGCCAGTGAGCATTGCTGTTGGCCACTGTTTCCCAAAGTGTAGTCTCCAGACCCTCAGCGTCAGCGGTGCCTGGAACTTGTTGGAAATCCAAATTCCTGGGCCCTACCCCAGACCTACTGCATCAGAAACTCAGGGTCATACCCAGAATCGGTTTTCATGGGCCCTCGGGATGAGTCGGTGTGCACTGGATTGGAGAACCTCTGTGGAGTCCAGACAAGGTGATGGTGACCCAAACTGAGATGGGGGCAGTACGGATAAAGTGGGTGCGGCTGGTATATGTCCAAAAGGTTGAATCTGGAGGATTTAGGATTCGATGGGATGCAACTGGGTGGGGACCAAGGTGGGCAAAAAGGGACAGAAGCAGGGTCTGGCCCGGGGTAACGGAACTGCTTCCTCATACAGGTGTCCCTGGTGGGCTTCCTGTTCCTTTTGGGCTTGTACATCTCATCCCTGGCCTCCTGTATGGGAGGCCTGTACGGGGCCCCCCGGATCCTGCAGTGCATTGCCCAAGAGAAAGTGATCCCCGCGCTGGCCTGTCTGGGGCAAGGGGTAAGTAACCTGTTTTTTGACAAATGTCCATTTTGCTGATTGTTGGTGAACAAATTGCTTAAGGCTTTCTGATTAGAGCCACTGGTCAAGTCTTCCAGGGTGAGAGAGACGAGAGTGCAGGAATCATTTCTGTGACCCCTGTCCTCTGGCTGCCTTTGGCTGGGGCCAGTCGGACAAAGCACCTGCCGGCATCACAGCCACCCAGGGCCCCGCCACTGGGGTAGCTAACTGTCACAGAAACATCTTGGGCCCCGCGCGAAGGAAAAGGGAGAAATACCTCCTTTAGTAACAGTAAATTCAGGGTCCGTAGGGAGGAGGGGCGCTGGTCCTTGTGACTCTAACTCTGTGTGGGAGGTCACCTTCTCTTGGGGTTACTTAATGATCATTTCCCACACCTCTGGCCTCTGGGCTCTCTATTAATCATCATGGCCCAAACCTTAACTGATCCAGTATAGCTTGGTTGAGCCTCAGAATGATCAAATGAGACATTCCTGAAATTGAGGGGATGATAAGAGAGAAAGAAAGAGAACCCCACTCTCCAGTAGTGTGGTTTGCAGGCCACAATTCGTCTCTGCCTCATTAGAGCACCACGGAGGCCACCCCCAACCCCTCAGCCACCCGAGCCTCCCTCTGGGTTAGGGCCACGTGGCTGCAAGCCATCCTTAGTTCTTCCCTTTACCTTCCTCCACCGGTCTTTCTCCACCAGGGCCTTTACCCATCGGTCAGCATGGGCTGCAGAGAAGTAATGACTATCATCTCTGCCTTCCATTTTAATATCATTCATTTTTATTAGGTAATACATGCACAGGGTTTAAAAGTAGAAGTGACGTAAAAGGTATACACTGGGAATTTTTTCTCCTATCATGAATCTTTTTATTTCTTTCCCTGACTGCACCCATGCCCTCTTCACAGCTGCTCTTCGTGAATCCTTCTCTCCTCTAATTTTATACAAAGACTGAGATTTACATACTTGTCATATACTTTGCTTTTATTCATTTAATGCAGCTTGGAAGTCTATTTTTTCATATGGATGTAGAGAGAACTTTCTCATGCTCTTTTATCATGTGGGCACACCATGGCTCATTTCCCCAGTTCCCTTCTCTGTGAGTCCACACGTGTGCTGCTTCCAGTAAACAGAGCTACAGAGGACAATCTGTGTGTGCGTGTGTGTGTGGTTTTGTATATGTGCCGATATATCTACAGGATACATTTTCATGAGTGGGTTTGCTGGGTGAAAGGGCAAATGCATTTTTAATTTTAATATATTGCCGAAACACCTTCCATGGGATTTGCATCATTTTGTATTTCTACCATATTGTACTTCAGCAATATATAAGAGTTCCTGCTTCCTCCTGGCCAGTACCACTCTTCTTCAACTTGGGCCAAAAGACCTTGCTTTATAGAAAGAATGCTGTTCTGGTTCTCAGGGTAAGAAGTTCATGAGGCCAAGGGGACATGCCCACCCAGGTCCCATGCACCTTGGAATTTCCTGTCCAGCTGTCTCCCAGCTCACACCCAGGGTCTGCAAGGGTCACTTCCCTGGGCCTGTTCTCTCTGGGGCCAGGGTGTGGGCCAGGAGTCCCCATGTGGGTGTGAGGTCCCTCACAGCATGGTCTGGGGAGGAAGGGGCTGTGAGCTGGAGGCTGCCCACGGCCATCCTCTGGTGGGGAGCTCTGAGGAGTGCGAGAGTTCTAAACCAGCCTTCCCATCATCCTGATGGTGTGTTTGCCAAAGCAAGGATAGGACAAATTTGATTTAATACCTTGTTACCTTGGGTTATAGGTATAGATATTTAGACATAGGGTACTTGGGCTGCCATTTGTACTCTCACCCCAGGCATCACAGTATTAGCAATGAACTTACCCACAGCTCACTGTCAAATGAGAATTTTTGCCATTGTGCAGAGAGACAGTAAGAAATGGTTAGGATACTTGGTGTTTGTCTTACTATTTTTTTTAATTTTAAAAAGGATTTTAATTATTTATTTTTTAGAGAGAGAGGAAGGGAGGGAGAAAGAGAGGGAGAGGAACACTGATCGGTTGCCTCTCACAGGCCCCCAGTGAGGGACCCGGCCTGCACCCAGGCAGTGGCCCTGGCCAGGAATCAAACTGGCGACCTTTCAGTTAGTGGGCCAGCGCTCACCCACTGAGCCATACCAGCCGGGGCTGCATTATTCTTATTATGATTGAGGTTGAACGTCTTTTCCTCAAAGAGTCATTTGTTTGTTTTCTGTGATTATTGGTCTTTTTCTTCTCAATGACCAGAAGCCTTTCTTTGTTAGGGACATTAATTTTTGTGATATGTATTACAAATATTTTCTCTAGCTTGTTAGTTGCTTTTTAACTTTAAAACCTTTTCTTCAAATCTTCTTTTCATATGATTAAACTTTATTAGCACTTTTTTTTACAGGAAAAGAGAAGAAACTTTAAAAAAATTTTTGAGGTTCATTCACTATACAGAAAAAGTTATAAAAACCATAAGAACAGTATAAAAACTAACTATGAAGTGAACACCTTTGCAACCTCCCCCGAGAGCACTGCTGGCGGTCGTACCCTCCACACACCTCCCTGGTTCGAGCCCAGGCCCTCTGGCTGTGGGAGCTACTGTCCTGGCTTCCGTGATGATGATATTCTTTACTTTCTTGATCGTTTCCTCAGAAGTTGACAAACTTTTTCTGAAAAGGGCCAAATTGTAAATATTTTAGATTTTCCAGGCCCTACAGCCTCTATCCCAACTGGACTCCATCACTGTAGCTCAAAAGTTGGCACGAACACCCATATGGGACAAGTGTGCCTGTGTCCCTATAGAACTTTATTTCTGGGACACTGGAATGTGAATTTAATGTGTCACAAAAATATTGCTCTTCTTTCAATTTGCACCCCAGCTGTTTAAAAATGTAAAACCGCCCTTAGGTCTTGGGCACATATAGGCAGATGACAGCCAGGTCGGCGCCAGGGGTTGCAGGTTGCCAGCTCCTGGTTTACTCCATGTGCATCTCGGAACAAAATGATTTGATTTTGTCTGTTTTTTAACTTTATGTAGTGGGGCCTGCTTCTCTCACTCAACGTCATGTTCGTGAGACTCATCCCTAGTGGCATTCCTCATTTGTTGCGGTTTATTCATGCGCTGTGCTGCCCACGGACACTGGGGCTGCTCCGTCCGGGCCAGGCCCGGGGCAGACAGCGCAGCGGGCACTCCTGTGCGCGCAGGTGGCGCACGGGTAGGGCTCTTCCGACCACCTGCTCGTCAGGGCCACTGCTGAACCGCTCCTCTCACTAGAGGGGGTACAAACCTTTTCCCGAAGTAGTTGTATTAGTTCTCTCAGCAGTGGATAAGCATCACTGTTTCTCTGTGTTCTTGCTAATACTTGATAATATCAGACTTAATATTTGCCAGGCTGGTGGATGTTTAATGGTAACTTGCTACAGTTTTAATTTGCATTTTCCTGATTATATAATGAGATTAGGCGTCTGTATTATGTTTCATAGGCATTCTTTTGCTCTTCTTTTTAGTGGGTTGTCTATCTTTTTCTAAGGATTTTGTGGGAATTTCTTTTGGCATATTTTGTCTGGTCCTTTGTCAGTTACACAAGGTGGGCAAAAATAGTTTACAGTTGTGAGTATGTGAAACACATAGTTTATTCCTGTATTATTATTTACTCATTATTGTGTTATTTATATTACAACTGTAAAACTACTTTTGCCTACCCCCCTATGGTTTAAAAATTTCTATTCCCATTCCGTGCCTTGCCTTTTCATTTCTTCACCATGTCTGTTGGTGAACAGAAGTTCATATCTGAGTAACTTGTCTCTTTACAACCGTCCTCATCAAAGTCTCACCTGAACTGCTAGCATTTCCTTCAGTGTACCTGGGACCCTCCTTTTTAAGTTGTTTTTAGTTTCTGAGGATTTACTTTATTCTTAATAGTTTTATTATTAGAATATGCTAAAGAATTGTAGCTGTACCAAAAAATGCAATTCTCAAAAACAATAAAAGTGTAATTTTATTCTTTCTTTGTTTTTAAAGATCTTTAAGGTTCTAGGGAAGGTATTACAGGTCAACAGGGGCTCTGATCCTCAGAGACTCAGGCTGATGATGATTTGCTATCTCCGTCCTGTGACTTCTTAGGCTGCTCTCTATTCCAGCCCTCAGTAATGGGGCACACCTGCAGGAACACGCGTGGGAGGTCCCCAGGGCAGATCTGGAGGTGGCTTTTATGCCTGACCTTCACATTCCAGAGTACTGTCAGCAAAGGAGGTGGTTGGATCCTGTGTGTATCCTGAGAGTAAATTCTTACACTATTTGCTAATGGAAAATGAGAAAATCAGAAGAAGCCTCAAGAATTTTCCTTGACTGAGCAACTGGAAGTATGCATTGCTTTTTTCTGTGTTGAAAGACTGCACAAGGAGTAGAGTTGAAGAGCAGGAGATCCAGGGAGCAGCAATTTGATTTTGGACACATTTACGTCTGAGATCCTGTTAGACATCAACTGGAAATGTTGAGTAGACAGTTGAATATTTAAGTCTGGACTTAAGGAAGCATTTCAGGCTGGAGATTTAAATTTGGGATTTGAGAGCATGAAGCTGGTAGGTACGGCCATGAGCCTAGTTGAGATTACTTAGCAAGAGAGTGCAGCCAGACAAGGGAAGGGGGCCTGAGGATGGAGCCTGGGTGGCTTTCAAAGATGTGGGGGAGCGGCAGAGGCAGAGGAACAGTCACTGAGGAGGGGGGCAAATTAAGAGACAAGAGGTGAAGAAAGTCTTTCAAAAACCAGGGAGCTATGAGCTGGGTCAAATGCAGTTCTTAGGTTAAGGAAGGTGAGGACTGAGAGGGGACTATTGTTTTTGGCCCAAGAACCGTGTCAGTTTCTCTGCTGCCTGTCTTCTGAGGAATGAGAGATTATAAGGAGTTAGCACATATTTTCCACTCCTATCCTGAAGGTCACATACCCACCTCCATCCATAACAGATGTGTGCACGTGTGTGTGAGCATGTGCATGTGTGTGTTAGTATCAGAATTTCCCCACCGGAGCCACCAAAGATTCTGCTCTGTCTTCTAGGGTTTGCTGCTTCTCTAGGGTAATATTCTTATGATAGTCTGGAAAGAATCAACACTCCATCTTTTTTATTTCCAAAGCAGTGTTAAAACCGATGAAAGAGCAAAGGAGAACTACTTGGGAAGTCCAAGTTCTAGGCTAATGCCCCATGTGAATAACTACTGATACAACTAATACCCACAGTGTGTCAGGAGCCTGCTGTGAGTCAGGGCCATGTCATGCATTTTATATGCAGTCAGCTCTGATCCTGAAATAATTCCATGGCTTGGATATTACTGTATTTTCCCAAGTTTGTAGATGAACAACTATCAACATACCAAGAACCACTTGGGAGAAGTGGCTGAGCCCCTTTGAGTTGAGTTTTTATCACATAATGTGATTTTCTTCTGAAATTTCATAGTCACGCATGCATGTTATTTCTGTTTTTTGCAGAAAGGGCCAAATAAAACACCTGTGGCAGCTATCTGTCTGACCAGCTTGGTGACCATGGCCTGCGTCCTTGTGGGTCAGGTGAATGTCCTGGCTCCCATCGTCACCATCAACTTCATGCTGACGTACGTCGCGGTGGATTACTCCTACTTCTGCCTGTCCATGGTTTCCTGTAGCCACCCCAAGGTACCTGGGTCCATGCACAGGGAAGGCATGGAAGCTCTCCACCGCTCTGAGCACCTGCTGCTGGAAAAGGCGCCTACTTATGGCTCTGAGGGCACTGCCCGAAGCCTCTCTGAGGGCACTCTGATGGAATTCACCAAAGACATGGATCAGCTCCTCCAGCTAACCAGGAAGCTAGAGAGTAGCCAGACCAGGCCAGGAGATGGTGACAGGATCCCAGAGCATCAGAAGGGGAAATGCAAGAAGGCCACCAAGCAAACCCTACAAGATAGCTTCCTCTTGGACCTCAAGTCACCAGCTTCCTTTTCTCCTGAAGGCCCTGACAGATTGCCCACTGACTACTGGGAGGGGCAGGAGTCCTTCTGGTTCAACCAGTATTCCAGGAGTGAAAGTGCTCAGCCTGGGGGAGCATGTGGAGAGCAGCTTGTCCCTGAGCTAAGCAACCAGCCAGGGCCAGGTGGAGAAGGTGAGTGCTCTGAAATTGTACCGAGGTCTCCTAATTCGGGCTGGCTGCTGGTTGCCTCACCCGCCCGGTTATCACAACCCTCTTTCAGGTCCTTAGCCAGTCACTTTATAGCTGGCTTTTTCCTTGTTTGTTTTGTTTTATATTTATTTTAAAAGTTATATTCAGATATCAGCTAAATTTGTAATTCTACTGTTAAGAGATTTTAAACAGAAATTTCTATCTACTCCCATATGTGGGAGCCATGACTACTAATTGAATACTAATTTCATTTCACTCTAAAATCAGCAGAGGTATAAGGCCAACATGAATGAAAACCGATTTCCTTTTTCAAGAGAAGTGGAAATGCGCTTTGACAAAGTGCCTGGCAAGGACTCAGGATGCTTCATCTGTGGAAGATGAATATCCTAAATCAGGCACGAGGAGATGGAGAGAAGGTGGCAAAGCGGGGGGCAGCTTTTCTTCACTTTCTCAAATCTGCAAACACGGAGACACAGAGAGGGACTTCAAAGAGAGGCTACAGGAGATGAGAAATTCTGAGAGAGGGAGAACTCAATCTTCGAGTCTTTCATATTTTAGGTATTTGATGTGTCCTTTCATGAATATAATGGATATTTGAGTTTTTCATTTCTCCAATGAAGACCCTGAGGCCCTGTGAGACCTTGTTATGGGTACAGAGAGGTCTCAGAGCTGAGTGTTTGCACAGCTGGTCGTCACCCCCAGGCCTACTCATATGGAGGCTCGTGCTTCCCTTTACACAACTGGCCCCTTGATGCCAATGGGCCGAAAGGAGGAGATGGGGGGACAGGGAAGATGTCTAAAAAGAAATGCTTCACATTCTTCCATATCCCTACTTCTTCTTCTGTATCTCCAAATTAGTGTCAGGTTTTTAATGGTAGGAGCATTATTAAAAACTTTAAAATCATTTTATTTTGTCAACATCATAAGTATGTAGTTCAATGAGCTAAGTGGAATTAAAAGTCACATAATCAAAAATGTTTCTCATTCTTCTACACTATCCCATCAATCCTTTTCTGCCTCCTAGTTTAACCCCCAGAAAACCCCACTTTCAACAAAAAAGGTGCTTCTTCTGTTAACCTAAATGTTAGTAAATAATACATTTGTATTGCTAGTTCTTGATGTCAGTTTCAGATATCTTTTGACTTCTAATGATCATAAGTGAAGATTGAACTCATTTATGCCCCTCTGACTCCTCATTCAATGTCTCAGTGTAATTAATTATATTACAATTTTTATTAACTCAATGCCTAGTATTCGTATTATCACGATTGAGTAAACATAGTTTAACTCTGAGCCACACACTTTCCTATGATTACATTTCCTTTTTTGTCCATCGTTTTCTGTTTCTTGGAGTTAATAATTATGTTGGTTTTTTATTTGTTTATTTTTTTGCCATAAATTTTTCTCCAAGTGCTCTGGCAGATACATCAAATGCCTCTTAATGTTATTTCCCAAATGCTTGAGTTCTTCAGAAATCTGTCACCTCCATTTGTGTTTCTCTCTGTCCTGTGGCTACTCTACTGTTCTCCTCTGCACCGCCTGTCCCCCAGGCCTGCTGCAAGCTGTTGTCTTGGAATTCCTCTCTTTATTGCATTTTTTTGTTGTTGGATCCAGAGAATAAGAGATTTCTTTGGATCCAGGATACAAAAGACTTCTTGGATACAATATAATAGCAGACTTTGGGGTTTTTTTTCCTGCCTATGTAGCATTGAGTGACTTCCCTATATTTGAACAGTTTCCAATGTTATGAGTCTTGGTCGGAGGCAAAACAAGCCTTTCACACTCAAAACAAAATGGCAGGTATCAGTTTTCTACCCTCTCCTGCAGCCAGAGTTCAGGCACAAGACCAAGGCTCTGCCAATCAGATAAGCCCTTTTTATAGTGGGAACTGGAAACCCGAAGAAATGGAGACTTTGAGGAACTCTCAGGAAGTATAACAGTAGCTGCAGGATGACCACTCCTGGTCCCGGTGTCCAGGGTTTTCAGGGCCTACGGGTAGGCTGCAGCGTCTGGACCGTGTGCCTGCAGCACTGATGTCCTCATCAGGCTGCCCTGACAGAGAATCTGAGTGGCGTTGCTGGCCTGAACTTGATTCACCAGCCTTTCCAGCTCTTCTCAGAGGGGAGGCTGGGAAACGTCTTTTTGGCTGGTCGTATTGCCGTTTCACATGAAATTATACAGATATTTTCCCTAAGGAAGAAGAAGAGCTTGGGGGGCAACAATCGGGCTATACCACAATTGTCCTGTTTTTCATTTCCAAGAGCTCTTGCTTGTAATCTAACTTGCCCTTGCCCTTTTCCTTTTAAAAACAATTGCACATCATCTTATTCTTGTTATGGGTACAGTGGTTTATCGTATCTTTCTGGTAATATTACTTATTCTCCCTTTAAAGTCTTTTTCTCCTCCTTTTACTGCCCTATGTTCTCTAGGTTCTTTTCTCTTTGGCTTGGTTCTCTCTCTCTCTCTCTCTCTCTCTCTCTCTCTCTCTCTCTCTCTCTCATATAAGAAAGAGGCTTTACTAACATGTCTGTTGATCTTTTGATTTCTTTTCTTACTTTGAAGTATTAAAAAGCATACTGTTCATCATCAGGCCAGGGCTTGTTCATTGGGGTACCTCACTGTAAAATGATTAGGGAGTAAGCTAGGTTCTTCACAGGGGACCCCCAAATGTACCTATCTCTAGAGGGTTGCCTCTGGGACTCTTCAGTTCTTCTGCAGAAGGGTCATTTAATCTCTTTCTTGGGGCTCACCCAGATGGCTGCTTGCATTCAGGGAGCAAGGGAAGGGAAGGGACTTGGGGGCTCCCCATTGTTCAGGATATGGGCTTTCATTTAATTCCCCAGTTTGTAGCTCCAGTCCTGTACTCTTTGATAATATTGGTGTCCCAAGTCTAGGCACTCTCTGGTTTGATTTCTTTAGAGAAACCCCCTCTTGGAGAGTGAACTGGGCAAAGGAGGAGTTGTTACTTGGCTGCATGGATAGAGGACCTCAGTGTCCAACAGTTTCATACAGTTTTGTGACCAGCCTCCTGTACCTTACCACTTCCTAGGGATGTGGCGCTTCCTGATCATGAACTCTCTGGAGTCTACCTGGTGCCTTGGGGCTGCTCCTTACCCACACTTTATCTGTAGGCTCCAGGGTTCATCCTCCTCCGCTCTGCCTGGCCTGTTACCATCTTCTGTTACCTTTTTATCTTCTAAGACTTATTTTCCTCTTTCCTCTCTCATTCTCCCTGTGTTTGTGAGTTTATAGCTATTTAATTCCTTTTTCTGTCTTCTTTTTTGGTTTTCAGGAGAGACATATGGTTGGTTAGTTTGCCATGTTTAATCAACGAAGTGGTTGCTACCCAATCTAGAAGTGTCATAGCTATTGACCACTCATTCTCCTCCACCCTTGCTGTCTTTCCCTTGGAACAGACCCTCATCGTCTTGCACCCAGGCTCTTTTTATGTCTCCAAACTAGTCTCCAGCTTCCAGATTTTCCCACATCCTACTTTTCCTTCTCATTGTCCACTGGATAATCTTGATTAAAAACCTTCACTGGAATCTAATGCCTTCCATATGAAGTCCAAGATCCCTGCTGTGATCTACAAGGTTCTTTAGGTCAATTCTGCCCTGACCCACCTTCCTGGCCACTTATTCTCATGAGGACCCATGCACTGCACGTTGCAGCTAAACCCAGACTAGTGACCTAACCACATCATGTTCTGTGTGCCTCCCTGCCTTGGAGTATGCCGTTCTGCCTTCTCAAATTGCTTCACCTCCCCCAACTCCATCTGGAAAATTCCAACTTATGGTTTAAAGTACATTTGGCTTTCCAGACCCATTTTTACCCCCTCAGAGAAGGATTACCTAATTTCCCTGCTGTGCAGGCATAATATTTGATTCATACAGGAAGTATAAATAAGTATCACATTGTTTTATACATTCAGATCACATGTGTTTATACATCTGTCTTCAGGCCCACTCGTCTGACTGTCTTAAGGAAAGGAAATACTAGTTTTTCTCCTTTGCCTCTAGACTGTGAGCTTCCTTTAGTCACAGACTGTGTCTTTTCACGTTGTATTCATCACAGTGTTCCCACACGGCCATGGCACATAACAAACAGTAAAAGCTGGTTATATTGATGGACATTTGAACAAATATTATCTAAAAATGTGAAACATTGATCAGTGAAGTAGACTAGAAAGTGTTAAACTATTATAAGTAGACTAGAAAGTGTTAAACTATTATAAGAACCTAATGTATGACAAACCAGATGCATAAAATTATAAGAATCAAACCACTATTGAATAAATACTGTTGAGAGCAAATGGATCCAAAAAATTAACTTGGAGGCTATATTTTATGCCTTATATAGCCATGAATTCCTTATTTATAACAGCTGTGCAAAAGAGATATTTCTGATTATTGAATACATCATCAGAGATAAAAAGGAATCTGATTAAATAGAAATAAAAAACATTTGAACAACAGTGTTGCAGAAGGAAACAATTATTCAGACAAACACAACTGATAAAAGCATACCTTCCAAAGTATATTATTTTTAAGAACAGGAAGGTCAAAATCCAGATTCTACTAAGCAGAGGTCAGAAGAGATGAATATGTACTTTACATTTGAAAAATCAATTCCCAGACTCATTCACTGTCCACTCAACAAAGTAACTATTATTGTTAAGTGTTAAATAATGTTAGTAGCTAAAAAACAGGCAGCATTTATTAAGCATGTCCCACGTTCCTGACACTGAGAGAAGCACTCAACACAGATTTTCTTATCTTGGTTTAGTGTAGAAATTGTTACTACCTTTTTTGCAGAGGTTTAGAGGCGTTAAACCCCTGTTCAGGATACGAGCCAGACAGAATTTGAACTCAGATCTGTCTCACTTTAGAACCTGTGTCCTTAACCACTATTTGAAGTGTATGCTGCTTGCTGTCAGTATGTTTTATGAAGCAGGGCATGGTAGTGATTAAATCACCACAAAT